ACCTCCTTGGTTAAAACAATACACCTCCCTTTTTAACTTGGAATGGACCCTTTTTTAAAAACCTAATGGGCCATCAGATATTGATGGTCCAGTTTAAATCAACACACCCCTTTTCCATTTTTTACTCCCCCATAGAATTAAAAACTATATAATATGATTTATTTAAAAATGAACCTTAAATATAATATAAGCGTAGGGAAAATTTGGGGTATGACAAATGGGTGAGATCAAGTTCTTTCTGGGAATTCAAATCAATAAAACTCCAGAACGAACCTACATATATCAAAGCAAGTATATCCATGCATCTGAGCAAGACCATGTCATAATTTCACTTGTATAACACATCTTCATTGAGGAAAGAGCTACATGTCAATCTTCTCAATGTCTTCCTATCTTTTTAAATGCACCAAATGGGTATTCTTGAGTCTGAAGGAAGTGCTTGATATCATAATACCAAGGTTTTTCATCTGACGTCGCCTCTGTAGCAAACACATGAGTTGGTCTATCAAGACGCCAAACTGTAATCTAAGGCACGTCGTTCCAAGCACTAACTTGATACATGAAAGCCAAAGTGGCTAAAGCATCTTCCATCTGATTCTCATCTCTAGGAATAAGATGGAATTCAATTTTATTGAAGAAAGATAATAATCTTCTTGCATAATCTTTGTACGGAATCAAGCCAATGTGACGAGTCTCTCATTCTCCTTTGATCTGATTTATTACTAAAGTTGAATCACCATATACATCAAGAATTTTGATTCTGAGATCTATAGCCTCTTTAAGACCCATGATACAAGCTTCATACTCCACCTTATTATTGGTAAAATAAAATGCCAACCTTGCAGTAAAAGGGATATGTGACCCATAAGGAGTGATAATCACGATACCAATTTCTTTTCCATAAGCATTTACAGCTCCATCAAACACCATACCCCATGAGATTCAGGATCAGGACCTTCCTCGGGCAAAGGTTCATCACAATATTTAACTTTCCAATACATCACATCCTCATCAGGGAAATCATATTTAACAGACTGATAATCTTCAACTACTTGGTGATAAGGTACTCTCCCGACACACTGCCTTTAATAGCCTTATGATAATTATTCTAGTAAGAGCGGGCTTTTCAAAAATATACTTAATTGGATCCATTTTGGAAATCAACCAAGTAGTGTGATTCAACATATATTGCCGCAAACGCTTTTCCGTTCCGGCCAAAGCACAACATGTTTTTTCTAGTAAAGAATATCGTGACTCACAATCAGTGAACTTTTTGCTCAAATAAGAAATGACATATTCTTTTCTTCATGTTTCATCTTGTTGTCCCAAAATACATCCCATGGAGTTATCCAACACAGTCAGATACATAATCAATGGTCTTCCTTCAACAGGAGGGAGCAAGATAGGAGGCTCAAGCAGATATTCTTTGATACTTTTAAACACCCTTTTGCAATCATCTGTCCATACACAACCTTGATCTTTCTTTAACAACTTGAAGATTGGTTCACATGTTACAGTCATATGGGAAATAAATCTTAAAATGTAATTTAAATGTCCAAAATGGTCCACGATTACGTCTTCATATTTGAAACTTCATTCTAACTGGATCAACCCTTATCAACTGACACCAACAAATAGCTTGCAGGAGGGTACTCAATAGAGAATTTCAACAAGTCGCCTTTTCCCAAACACTGTGCTTCTGCAAATTCAAACCAACCTTTGCAGATGTGCGTATCAATCTTAATTGTATCCTTACGAGTCTTCAACTTCCATGGGTATTTTTTGCCCATATCAGTGTCATAGATTGTAATTGAACTTTGTGGCTCCGTAAAACACTTGTTTATAACGGCAGTCGAAAATTGCCGTGCAATGAGATAAAAAAAGCAAGGTGTTTACTAAACCGTTTTACATACATCATTTCTATCTTTATAATTATCTAATATGAAACTTACAAACACATTTTTCCTTATTTTTCTTGCGTGATTGACCTGTCTGGTCCATTTCCACACATTTTGGGCACGAGAATTACCAACTTCGAATTCTGCTACCAACTTCTCCTCCACACTACATTTTCATAATATGCAACATACTCATTATTCGTTAAAGGTGACCGATTTCAATATTTTTATTTTATTAAACACTCAATAAATTTGAACAACAAAATCACTAAATACTACTTCAACTATGCATTTCAGTACGACGTAATAATAACAACTAAAACACTTGACTTTGACGTGTCAGATGACATTGATATGTGAGAAGGAATAGGGCTTGCAATCTTTTTCCCTTTATATGGCTCGACATCAGCACTTTCAGTACACTCCTTGGCAGGTTCCTTAAGTCCACCATCATGTTTACTTCCTTTATCAGCCGATGTCAACACCTTCCCTTTGAATGGGTCTGCAACATCACCTTGGGTGTCCTGCTCATCATGTTCCTTGGCTTCAAGTTTATTTTTTCCTCCCACATCACACGCTCTCAACACCTCAACACAAAATTCTGTATAAGTAAATATTTTCCTGATCTTTTTTTTCGTAGCAACCGCTCTTCCTCATGGTTCAGATAATAATGGTACATCTGTTGACGTTCATTTTTGTTAAAATATCGTTGCTTCAGTTTTTCAGATCTGCAACAAATAACAACATGTAATACACATTGCTTATACACCATGCATGCCGCTAACAACATGTTTAGATTCTCTCTACCCTTACGATTAACTAAACTATTTAACGAATCTTTAAGAATTCTTAACAATTTGTAACAGTTTTTAAGATTTCACACTGAAAACAAATGTTTTTATCGAATCATAGTCCTTACCTGGAAACATGCACGCCTTTCTCCCTTGAGCATCTTCACCGCGAACATAAAATGATTGTCTTGGTATGGAACATTTTCATTTGAAAGATGAAACTGCAATTGTTATTTTGACTTCTTTGCTTCTTGAATAATTGTTCGTTATAAATGTCAAGTCCCTTCAAATTCTCTTACCCATTTTGATGTCTCAAAGTATACCTTTTTAGTTGGAGTGTTTACACGTGTAATATTTTTTTCTTCTAAATGTGTTTATATTAGTTACTCAATAAATATTAATTCTATTATTTTTATATTTTTTGTGCCTTGTTTAATCTATAATAAAATAAAATGACTCAGTTATATTTTTGGAATTATTAAATGACTTTTTATATAACATAAAAAATAAAACAAATTGTAATTCTTAAATATCTATTTTTTTTATATTATTTATATAAAAAATTGTTTTAGAAGTAATAGATTAAATTGTTTTAATTTATATATATATATATATATATATATATATATATATATATATATATATATATATATATATATATATATATATATATATATATATATATATATATATATATATATATATATATATATATATATATATATATATAATTAAAATTTTATTATTTTAAATTAAAAAAAAATTAATAAATTTAAATACATATCTCGGATAGATATACGTACTAGTATGCTTTAAATAACAAGTTAAACAAATCCCGTCTATCTATTTTCTCACCAATATGTAAAATAGTAGTAGGATCCTCCTAAATTACATTCATAAAAAATAAAAATAAAATGTTCAAAAAGAGTATTAAAGGAGAAGATTCTCCTTATTTAAGAAATGTATATCCAATTCCTTTTGTCGATCATTCATTTGAAAGTTTATTAATTGCCGCCTTATCTGCATTAAGCAAATTTAATCGTTTTTAATATCATTGAAATTAATTAACAAAAAAGTAAACAGCATTTTCAATCAAACGAATGAGAAACACAGTAGTGGCAATCCAAAATCTATAACTAAAAAACCTGAAAAGATGTCGATGCTTTTTTTCTCCCAAACATGACAAATATTGGTATGACACTTGTTTGGGTTTATGAACAGAACTAGAATGAAGTCGGTAGTGGAATGGTCACGCTCCCATTTTCAAGTGTTTTTGTTGGACCATTTATGCCTCCCCTCGTTCATACCAAATTAGATTAACTTAAAGCAGATTTTTACTGCATTTACGTATTTAAGACTACTTGTCCTAAAATCGATTAATTTAGGAAATCAACTTCACTATCAACTATCATCCGTTTCTTTTTTGTTGTCAAAAAATCATAAATTATCTAACATTATTTCAAGAATAGCATATGCATATTCTTTGCAGTCATGATATACACTTTCATGTATTTGGAATATTATTGACCATTCAATCAATTTTATAAAGATAAATTAAACGCAATTATATTTTTTTAACATAGTATATCAAGAGTCTCTTTAAGGTCTAGTAAACCATTTCCTATCAAATTTCATATCCATAATTTATTTTTACATTTCAGACGTTCAATTTTAAATATGATTGGTCTGTTAAAAGTTTCGCATAGAATAATATATAGCATGAAGATGGTCTTCAAATGAAATTAAATGGAGCCAAATTTTTATAGAATTTACGCATTTATGACAACTATTGTTGTTATCATGGGCCCATTCATAGAAGCACACTAATATTGTATCATGATAGCATTTCATTGATCTCTATTATTGATAATATATCATCATAGCTCGTCACGGGTTGTCAACTAGAAAATAAATATCTACTCCCACTTTATATCTTTTACACTAAAATTCTAAAAGGTTAAAAATAATAGATTTAATATAAAATATAACATATTTTTTATTTTTATAAATTTTTTAATTATATATATATTTAAACTAAACATGATGAACAATTGATATAGATATTTAAACTCTAAAATAAATAAATAAAAATAATCTATGAAAAAAGCATGCACTAGTAAGTTTCACTTTATGAGTTATATATATGTTACTCGTTTATAGCATTGTGATCATTCATTCATCGCATTATATTAGCCCTCTCATGCACTACTAGCTACCCAATCCTCACGAGAATCACAAAAAACTCAGCTTTTGATTCTCTCCACAAACTACATAACTTGAAAACTAATAGCTACCAACAAGTAACACAAAAATGCTACCATTCAACACTACTGGTCATCTCAAACACACCTTCACTATTTTTGTTATCTTTCTCATCACTTTCATGGTGGCAGCAAGCAGCGGTGGAAGAAAGGTAGATATGGCAAGCGGCGGTGCACCTACAGGCGCAAGTGGTTCAGGTCATGGTCCAAACTGGGACTATGGGTGGGCATGGGGTTCAGCACCAGGAAGTGGGTGGGGTTATGGTTCAGGGTCAGGACATTCTCCTTCTGGTTTTGGTAGAGGTTATGGGTTTGGTTTTGGAACCGGGACTGGATCTGGTTCTGGATATGGTTATGGATCTGGTAGTGGCGGTGCTCATGGTGGTGGTTATGGAAGTGGCTCTGGCAACTCTGGTGGTGCTCATGGTGGTGGTTATGGAAGTGGTTCAGGTGGTGGAGTGAACGGTGTTGGTAGAGCTAATAACAACAAGTCACCTTCGGAGTCTAAGGGTAAAAGTAAAACCAACCATGGATAAGCTTGAGCTAGCTCGTTCATTATGTGTGTTTCCTCTTATATAGTTATGATATTAAAATAACTATAACTATATGATTGTACTTTAGTAAGAAAAAAAATATTGTAATCTATGTATGAATGGTTTGGTGTGTATGCATTATAGCTAACAAAATTATGAAGTCGCTATGTTATACTAGTATGTTTGATTAAAGAGTAAGTAATTTACGTGTACCCGATTTACAAGCAAATAAAAATTGGTTTTGGGTGTGGAATGAAAGTGAGTGATCATCTGTACCCAAAAAGGTGATTCATGATCCTGATATTCAAGGACAGTCCAATTCTATATCAGTAGGCATAATGAGTAATGAGGTTTTTTTAAATGAAGATATCCTTTGGAAAAACATGAAAGTTAGTTATTAACATAAAGAAAAATACACATAAGATATAGCTAACCTCTCTTTTAAGTGCATCACACACCATTTCAAATGAATGGATATTGTTTCTATTCCTCCTTTAATATATAAGAACTTTTGCATCTTTTCCTTCCACCCTATTGAACTTTGCTTCCCTATCTTTCTCTTCTGATCAGACCCTTTTCTACGATATTAATTATTGGAAAAGTAGAAGAAAAATTCTATGCACGTAAAAACACGTCTATTATATCTAAAAATAAATATAATTCACAAATTAATTAATTATAATTCGACACTTCATAACTACCATTAACCATTAAGAGTGACAAATAGGTATGTCCGTCCCGTTTAGATCCACTCTATAAAAACCATAAAAAAAAATGAGATGGGGGCGGAACAGAGTGACCTAGAACCTTGACCCGCTCCACACTAAAAGTGAGGGCGGAGTAGTGCGGACCCCTGGACACTGAATTTTTAAGCATAAAAATACAAAAATTCATATAAATTTTCATGTCTCCAAAAAATGGGTTGGACGGAACGGATATATTAGAGAGTACGAGTCTAAACCTTTGTCCTTCTCCGTGCAGGCAAAACGAATATATTCAACGCGTCGGACTCGTTTTGTCACCCATACTCTCAACTATTATATCTATAAAATAATTAGGGTTAAATGCACTTTACCTCATGCAATAGTACCGAGTTTTGATTTACTCCCTCTTAAAAAAAAATTCTTCAAACTGTTTTATATATAATAATATAATAATATAATACATCATTAAATAGTGTTAATAAATATACATATTGAAATACATAGTGCAGTGGTTGAGTATTTGACTTGCAAGTAGAGCATGCTGGTTTCAAAATCTATTAGATGTATATTTTTTAACAATGTAAAGATTTTATACAATTAAATAAAATATTAAAAAATATTTAAAAAAGCTAAGGTGACATACAATTAAGTAAAATATTTTTTTAAAATTTTTTTAAAGGGGAGTAAATCAAAACTCGTTACTATTGCAGGAGATAAAGTGCATTTAACCCAAACAATTATTAGTCAACTTGTAGTTTTTTCAAGAATAAAATTGCAAATTCTTCAATTTACGATTGCAATTTTTATAAGGAGAAAACTTAAAACCCTGTCAATTATAATTTTTACACATAAAAGTTACTGTGAGATATTGGATCGAACGCTAGTATGGTCAAAGGGTGTAGTTGTTGGTTCGATAGGAATTAAGCATGAGGTCAAAGTTTGTTCGCATGCTGCTATTAAAATAGTACATGATGTAGTTGAAGTTGTTCTGACATGTGTTAGTCGAAATGTTAGGATTTTTAACATGTTGAATTGGTCCTGTTTGTTATGCCCAATTGTTTAAGTTAGCTTGTTTTTTAAGTTACCTTGTAATAGGCCTGTGTGTAAAAGCCCATTAGTTTAGTATGTTAGTTTTCTTATAAATATCATACTAGTCTCTCATCATTGGAAAATGCAAATTATAATTAGGGTGAGAGGGTTATTTGTTATTCTGTAACACTTGTAATCTTGTTTCAAGAAGAAAGTAAAGAATAACAGTTTATAACCAATCTCATTGTTTTCTTCTTACTTTTCTCTTTCCTACCCTTGTGGCATTCTTGCCAACAATGAAACCTGTTATACTTTATTATTTTCACCGTTTTCATAACAAATTGTTGCGGTGAGCGTGGAGAAGATGTTGTCAACAAGGTTTGAGATTGAAAATTTTACCAGAGTGAACGATTTATGTCTGTGGCGCTTGAAGATAAAAGTCATACTGGTTCAACAGGGTTGTTTAGAAGCGTTGAAGGGAGCCACAACCATGGATGTTGCGTTAAAGGATAAATAAAAACAGATATGGTAGAGAAAACACACATGACCATCTTATTGAGCCTTGGTGATAAGGTTCTTTGATAGGTTTTGAAGGAGACGACGACGTCGGGTCTATCGAAGAGACTCGAAGGTTTGTACATGACCAAATTATTGGTTAATCGCTTCTACCTGAAGCAAGCTCTGTATTCATTCAAGATTAGTGAAGGTTAAGTCTTGTCTGAGCAGTTGGATATGTTCAACAAGCTGAATCTTGATCTTGAAAATATCGACGTCAAAATCGAAGATAAAGATCAAGCGTTGTTACTTTTGTGTGCTTCGCCCAGAACACGTGCTCATTTCAAAGAAGCTCTCTTGTATGGAAGAGAGTCACTAACTGTAATATGGTGGGAGACCTGACTTTTGGTTTTGTGTTTTATTGCAAATGTTGCGGATAGCAAGAGTCGCCACCGGCTTTTCTTTTATCCAATAAAGGAAAGGGTGAAAAGAACAGAAAAGACCTTTTGAGAAATTTATTGAGTTCGGGGGGTAGGTTATGAAAATGGAAGGTGTTAGCACCCTTTTCATCCGTAGTTATCTAGAGGCTCTTAATCGCTTGATCACTTTTTAAAATGCTTTGTGTTTGGGTATGTTTGAAAATATTTTGAAAATGCCTAAGTGCGGCAATTTTGTAATGGCTCTCGTTTCATTGAGAATGTATACAAAATGTTTGTTTTGAAAATATTTATTGGAAGAAAATGTTGTTTTAGAAAGTGTTTTGAAAATACCAATATAAGGCAGTTTGTTTATAATAACTCTTGTATCAGTCCTCAAGAGTGTTTATAAAGCATTTTGAAAGTAATTGTTTTTAAAGTGTGAGGTGTAAAGAATGATTTATTTTTGCGAGAAAGCGATTACGAGCGTTCTACCTACTCAAAAAGTCTTTGTTCTTTTTCTCCTCCTTTAGATAGTGTTATCCTACCATTAGTTAGTAGGAAACCCTATTGTTGGATGTGAGGGACAGGCGTGGGTCATCGTACAATCATAGAAGCCAACTTGTAGGATACTTTAGCAATTGTCGTAAGGGATTAAGATCGTTTATCGAAGGCAACATCGAAGGGTCATCGAGGGATTACGATCTTTTAATCGATGGTCTTTGCAAAAGCATCCCACGTTCGAAGGACGTGACTGTTTATATCCGAGACAACAACTGAGGTTATCCTAGAGGTGCGCGTGTGAAGTGTTTTGATTTCAAGTATTTTTGTCTTTGAGATTAGATTTTCTAACAATGATTTTAATCTTGCCATACAAACCCTAATTAATAACAGTAATAAGGAAAGCAGTAAATTGTGGAAATTAAATGTCATACGCTATTACGACGCTTCGAGGATAGGGGTACAAATTTATGAATGGGGGAGAAAAGCAATAAACCCTAATTATCTATTATAAACCTTTGACATTTACATAATTGTATTAATGCGAAAAATAAACAAATGTGCAGAGATAGAAAGGGGAAAGATGCAAAAAAAACCTAAAAATTCTGCGTATTTTAAGAAAATATTTTATTGTTTCTTTGTTTAAAAAATATTTGAAATGTGAAATAAAAAGTTAGTCCTAATTCTAATTTAATTTACAATTTAATTATGTAAAAAATAAAATAAGGTGTGATTAAATTAATTAGTCTTTATTATCAAAAATTAAATTAACTAATAAAAATCTAAAGAATTCTAAGTATTTAGAAAATATTTTTTTAGTGTTTTATTTAGAAAAGATATTTGAAGTATAAAACCTAATTCTAATAAAATCAAAGTGATTAAATTAAATTAACTTTTATTTGTTAAAAACTAAATTAATTAATTAAAAACCTAAATCTAATTTTTTTTAATCATTTTTATGATTTTTTATGGTTTTAAATAAAAATATTTAAAGAAAAGAAAGTAGTTAATTAAAAAAAAGAATTTTATGGGCCTGAAATGTAAAAGCAATTGGGGGGTGTTAGAAAGCAAAAATAAAAAGGCCCAAATCAACTAGGCCCAGGCGCTTGTTTGTAATCCAATGTGGCTAGCCTTTGATGGTTCATAGAGGAAATATGTGTTTGAGGCATCCAGATCAGGCTTGATGAGATCTAATGGTGTTGATGAGGGAGTGCATCATTGCGCGCTGGAGTTGCTTGCACATGATCAATAAAGAAAATATTGAAAAATAAAATGCCAAAGGCAAGGATCGAACCCCTGCCCTGGCACACTAACGCCTTACACACACGCTTGTCACTGGAGTGGCTGTTTCATCTGGTCATAAAACAGTTTCAGCTAAATATATTATAAAACGTGTTCACAAGTTTATATTTATGAACTTCATCTTCTTCATCGCGCCAGAATACCAATGTAAGGCAGTTTTCTTTATAATAACTCTTGTATCAGTCCTCAAGAGTGTTTATAAAGCATTTTGAAAGTAATTTTTTTAAAAGTGTGAGGTGTGAAGAATGATTTATTTTTGTGAGCAAGCGATTACGAGCTGTGATACGGTGGGAGAACTGACTTAAGATTTTGCGTTTGTTTTCGCAAATGTTTCGGTTGAGCAAGAGTCGCCACCGACTTTTTATTTTGTCCTAAGGAAAGGTTAAAAAGCACAGCAAAAACCTTTTGAGATGTTTTCTTGGGTTCGGGGAGTAGATTATAGAAAGGGAAGGTATTAGCACCCTTTCTATCCATGGTTATCCATGGGCTCTTAGTTACTTGCTTAGATCACTTGCCTTGTGTTTTAAATGGTGCTTGAGTGTGTGGGTTTGAAAAT